TTGGTAAGATTTCCAAAATATTATTCAATAAAAGAAAACTGTAGAAAAATATGTATGGTATGATCTCACGGATAAAAAGAAATGAGATATATACAAATATAAATAAATGTGCTAAAAGGGATGGAAGGTAACAGCAAATGTAACTTTGAGAACTGGTACCCATTCCACAGGTAGCAAAAGAAAAGAAAAACAATCAAAGGAGAACTAAATGAAATTAACCTTCCCTCCCCATCTCCCCAAAATATAAAGGATCAATGATCCAGAAACAGTAGGCAAAGGATTTAAATAAGTTCGATCAGAAATGAAAAAGGAGACATCATCACACCTGGTAACTATAGAAATACAAAATATCATCCATGACCACTGTGAAACCCTCTAGATTCACTAGGAAATCTAAGGCAAATGGATACATTTTTAGAAACATACACTCTCTCAGGCTGGAATCAGGAAGAAACAGAAATCCTGAATAGACCAGTAATGACCAGTAAGATTGAAACAGTAATTTTAAAAGTCTCCTAAGAACAATGTAAAAAGGCCCAGAACTGGAAGAATTTACATTAGAATTCTACCCGACCTACAGAGACTGAAACTGTTCCATGATATTGAGAGGGAGGGAACCTCCCTAATTTATTCTACAAAGCCAGTAAAAACACTAACAGCAAAGACAGGAAAGAACACAAGAACAAAAAAGAAAACTACAGACCAATATTCCTCATGAATACAGACGCAAAAGTCCTAAATGAAATATAGCAAACTGAATCCCACAGCACATCAAAAAGAGAATTCACCATCCTCAAGTGGGTTTTGTCCCAAGGATGCAAGAATAGATCAACACAATCAGTAAACGTGATTCACCATGTAAAAGAATTAAAAACATGGCTGGGCACACGTAGTTGAGGGGGGAGTGTCATGTTCTTGTTCAGGCTGGTCTCGAACCTGTGAGCTCAAGCAATCCACCCTCCTCAGCCTCCCAGAGTGCTAGGATTACAGGCATAAGCCACGCCCCCGCCCCATCTCTTCCTCATGCTGCTGCAGTCCTGCTGGCTCCCTGCAGTCATCTAACAGGCCAAGCATGCCTTAGGGCCTTTGGTCTATCTGTTCTCAGCTTGAATGCTCTTCCCCAGATTATTTCCTGCAAATAC